TCCTGCATCCCGGGAGCCTCCTGCATCCCGGGAGCCTCCTGCATCCCAGGAACCTATTTCTGCTCCATCCCCTGTTAGGGAGCAGCGATCACCTAGTCCAGTTTATGAGGTGAATAATGTTTTTAATACTCAATCTCTATCTCTCTTTATTGGTTGTATGGAAATTCATTTCTGGGATGTTGCTCATTTGTTAAACAAATTAGATACCCTGCAGCCCAATGGTATCAATGTAGACTTCACAAGCTTCAAAATCTCCCCTCCCCCCGACCGCATCACAAAACCAGCCCAACTCGTACCCGCCTCCCTAACCTGTCCTTCCTCCCACCTATACCCTCCTCCCACCTCAAGCCCCACCCCCATCTCCTACCTACTAGCCTCATCCCGCCTCCTTGCCCTGTCCATCTTCCCTGGACTGACCTATCCCCTCTCTAACTCCCCACCTACACTCACCCTTACTGGCTCCATCACCGCCTCTTTGACCTGTCTGTCTCTTCTCCACCTATCTTCTCCTCTACCCATCTTCTATCCGCCTCCCCCTCTCTCCCTATTTATTTCGAACCTCCTTCCCCTCCCCCATTTCTGAAGAGGGGTCTAGACCCGAAACGTCAGGCTTCCTGCTCCTCTGATGCTGCTTGGCCTGCTGTGTTCATCCAGCTCTACACCTTGTTGTCTCAGATAAAAGAAAGAACATAGCTCCGCCCAGATATCCCTCAAGGTTTAACAAGTGAGAACACTCCAACTATTTGGAGCTCATGCTCCATTCATAGAATGAAGACCCATGCCATTAGGGTTACTCATCCTTGATACATCTATTCCTGGAAGGTTTGCTAATGTGACCACTGGCCTTTAACCGATTTCCTCTAGCAAAACAGCCATTTTTTTAAACAATTGTTTTCCAATATTTTTGTAGCTAATAAACAAAAATGCATAAAGACAAAATACTGCAGATGCTTGGAATCTGAAATAAATGCAGAATGCTGGAGAAACTCAGCAGGTCTGGCATCAGAGAGAGAAGCAAAGTTAATGTTTCGAGTCTGGTATGGCTCTTCTGAATTGAACAGTGTTGGAAAATAGGTTTCTTTTTAATACTTTTTGACATAAGCAGAGGAGGAGCAAGAGGGCAGATGGTGCAGAAACCCAACACAAAAGATAAAGAGGTTATTGACTCAAAGTGAAGAAAGAAAAAGAATGTAAAAGGGATGTGAATGATGGTGGCTCTAGGATAGTCAGGAAAAGTTAACAACCCATTCCCTGTATGTATAATGGTATATAACCATTCTGAGCACTCATTCAATAGGAAGGAATGAATGTGGAATGCAAGTTGAAGCAAGTTTCAATTATTCCCAATTTTTCAGGAACCCCCTGTACAGGAAGAGGCTGTCTATGAAGCAGAACCCACCTATAGTAGTGATGAGCCACACTACCAAGAGACAACATATGAACAAGAAGCGGTTTATCAGATGCCAGATGAAAGTCAAGGTTACCAAAGAGGTAATGGCTAATATGCAATTTTAACCGTTGCTCCTGAAGGAAAGGGTACCATCTTAAATTATTTACAGTTATTGGAAAGTTTTCTGCTTTTAAAGGAAAGAAAATTCTATTGTAAATGAGGGCCTTTTTAAAAGATATTTGAATATTTTTGTTTGAATCATTTACCATTCCACCTTGTTTTGTCTTTTCCAGATGAGCCCACTTATGCAGAATACGGAAATGAGTATGGGATCACAGCTGTAGCATTGTATGACTACCAGGCTGGTAAGTGCACGGCTGTACCGTAATACAATCCATTTACAGAGAGGAGCACTGGAGAAACTTCACCATGGCATTACAAGATGTATATTAGAGCTCTGAGGGATAGCTTATAACAGTCAGAATAAACTGAATAGGTTCAGTCACTTCCCTCAAGCAAACAGAAGGATGAATAGTGAGTTAATAGAAGTGTTTAAGATGATGAAAGGATATGAGTGCAGTGGTGAAGAGGATGTTAGCTCTGCTGAAGTTGGATCTGCATGGGTTGAGCTTAGAAACACCAAGGGACAGAAAGCAATACTGTGGGTTTTATATTGACCCCCAAACTGTAGTAATATTGGGGATGACATTAAAAGGGGAATTAAATATGCTAGTAAGAAAGGTACAGCTGTAATTATGGGCGACTTCAATCTGCATATAGATTGGACAAATCAAATCAGTAGCAATACTGTGGAGGAGGTTATAAACGTGTATACGGGATAGTTTTATGAATCAGTACATTTGAGGAACCATCTAGACAAAGGCCATCTTGACTGGCTATTGTGTAACGGGAAAGGAATAATTGACAGCCTAGTTGTATGTGGGTCCTTGAATAAGAGTGACTACAATAGGATAGAATTCTTTATTAAAAAGAGAGCGGTTTAATTGTTTCTGGGATTAGTATGAGGCACAGGCTGGCTATGATAAATTGGGAATTGTTATTTAAAGAGATGATAGTGGATAGGCAATGGCAAACATTTAAAGAGTGCATGGATCAACTGCAAACTGATCATTCCAGTCTGGCATAAAAATAACACATGAAGCATGGTCAGACCATAGCTAACAAGGGAAGTTAGGGACAGTATTAAAGCCAAGGAAGAAGTGTGCAAATTGACCAAACATGAAATAACAGAGCTGAGGATTGGGAGGAGTTTAGAATCCAGCAAAGGGGGACAACAAGACTGATTAAGAAGGAGTTGACTAAGTGTGTGACTAAGCTTGCAGGTGACATAGAAACTGATAGCAGGTATAAGTATGTGAAGAGAAACAAAATCAATAAAGACACATGTGAGTCCCCTACAGTCAGAACCTGGGGGAATTTATAACAGGGACCAAAGAGATAGCAGACCAATTAAATACATAAAAACAAAATAAAGAACAGTGGATGCTAGAAATCTGGGGGAAAAAAAACAAATTGCTGGAGAAACTCAGCAGGTCTGGCAGCATCTGTGGGGAGAAGGCCAGAAATCAAATGACACCAGGTTATAGTCCCAACAGGTTTATTTGAAATCACAAGCTTTCAGAGCATAGCCCCTTTTTGTCTGGCACTTTACTGGTGTCCCCTGATTTCTGACATTGTCCACCCCAGTCCAATGCCAGCAATCCCGCATCATGGCTACTGTGGAGAGAAAGCAGAGTTAACGTTTTGAGACCACTCTGAAGAAGGGTCACTGCACCCGAAATGTTAACTCCGCAAATACTGCTAGACTTGCTGAGTTTCTCCAGCAATTTCTGATTTTGTTTCAATTAAGTTCGTACTTTAGTTCCGTTATCACAAAAGAAGACACAACTAACATCCCAAATATAGAGGGGAATACAGGATCTAATGGGAAGGAGGAATTGAAAAAAAGTTAGTATTAGTGGGGAAATGATGTTGGGAAACTAGCTGGATTAAAAGCATGTAAATCCCCAGGACCTGATGAGCTTCATCCTGGAGTATTTAAGGAAGTAGCTTTAGAAACAGCAGGTGCAGCTTCTAAAATTCTATAGATTCTGGAACAGTTCCAATGGATTGGAGGGTGGTAAATGTAACCCCACATCTGGAGGCAGAGAAAAACCCAGGAATTATTGACTAGTTAGCTTGTTATCAATAGCAGGGAAAATGCTAGAATCTATTTTAAAGATTTAATAGCAGAGCACTTGGTAGATAGAAATGAACACAGCATGGATTTACAAAAGGATAGTTGTGCTTGACAAATCTGCTGGAATTTTTTGAGTATGTTACTAATAGACTGGATAAGAGGGAGCACGTGGATGTGGTTTACTTGGATTTTAAGAAGCTTTCAATAACATCCCATGTAAGAAATTGGCATATAAAATTAAAGTGGATAGGATGGGGGTAGTGTACTAAAATGGATTGAAACTGGTTGGCAGATTGCAAACAAAGAGTATGAATGGGTCTTGTTCCGAGTGGCAGGTAATGACCAGTGGACCCAATGCTAGGACCCCTGCTATTCATGATGTACGCTAATCGTCTCGATGAGGGAAGTACATGTAGTTTCTCCAAGTTTGCAGATAAAACAAAGCTAGGAGGGAGGGTAAAGTCTGAGGACGATGCAGAGATTTTTCGGTGTGATTTGGACAAGCTGAGTGAATGGGCAAATACATGGAGGATGCAGTATAATGTGGATAAATGTGCCGTAGTTATTATCTGAATGGTGACAGATTGGGAAAGGGGGAGGTGCAGTGAGACCTGGGTGTCCTCAAACACCAGATGCTGAGAGTAATCATGGAGGAGCAACAGGCAGTGAAGAAGGCAAGTGGTATGTTGGCCATCATAGTGAGAGGGTTCGAGTACAGGAGCAGGGATGTCTTGCTGCAATTATACAGGGCTTTGGAAAGATCATACCTGGAGTACGTTATGTGTCATTTTGGTTTCCTTATTTGAGGAAGGAAGTTCTGGATATGGAAGGAGTGCAAAAAAGGTTTACCAGACTGAATCCTGGTGGCTGAACTAATGTATGGGGTTTGATTAGGATTATATTTACTGGCATTTTCAATACATACAAACATGCAGACACTTCAGCATCAAAATCTGACCTTGACTTAACAGTATCCATCAGAAGGCCTTCACTGCCTTAGTTTAAAAAAAATCTGAAAGTTGTAGTGAAAGGCCATTGTTTAAATTTCAGGCAATTAATTGTCACTGAAACAATCCAATCCAGGAGAGGCAGAAAATGTCCCCATAACTTTTTGAAGAATGAGGGGGCATCTCATTGAAACATATAAAATTCGAGCAGGACTAGACTGGTCAGGTGCAGGAAGATTGTTCTCAATGACCAAGGAGTCCTGAACCAGGGGTCACAGCCTAAGAATAACGATAAGCCTTCTAGAGCTGAGATGAGGAGAAAGACTAGGAGAAAATTCTTCACCTGAAAAGTGGGGAGCCTGCAGAATTCTCTACCTCAGGAGACTGTTGAGGCTAAAACATTAAATGTTTTCAAGAAGGAGTTAGATATCATTCATAGAAGTAAAGGGATCAAAGGGAATGGGGAGAAAGTGAGACCAGGGGACTGAGTTGATGATTAGCCATGATCCTATTGAATGGTAGGGAGGGGTTAAAGGGCCGAATGGCCCACTCCTGCTGCTTGTTCCTATGTTTCTAGGTTTGGTGGGATAGATGTAGAGCTGATGTTTCCAGTCTAGTGGATAAATCCAAAATTAGGGACGTAACTAGAGTCACTTGTAAAAAATAATCTGATAGGAATTGATCAGAAACTTAAATAGCAGACTGTGGCCAGAATGTAAAACTTGCTACTGTTTAGATTTTTGAAAATTTGGTTATGGGATCTGAGCATCAGTGGCTAATCTGGTATTTATTGCCCATCTCAAATGACCCTGGAGAAGGGATGATGAGCTGCTGCCTTGCACTGTTGCAGTCATCTATATGTAAGAATAACTACAATGCTGTCAGGGAGGGAGATTTCAGATTGTGACCCAATGACACTGAAGGAACAGTGATCTATTTCCAAGTCAGGATGATGAGGTGTGTCAGAGGGAAGGCTGGGTGATTACCTGAAGGAGAAAGAAACAAAGTGAGCTGAGGTTTCAGGAATGAGGCAGTGTCCTGTTTTGATGCTGTGTATTGTCTGTAACTCACCATGTGGTCTTTGTGTAATGTTTCAGATGGCGATGATGAAATTTCATTTGATCCCGATGACATCATCACCAACATTGAGATGATTGACGAAGGATGGTGGCGAGGGGAATGCCGAGGCAGATATGGTCTTTTTCCAGCTAACTACGTTGAACTGAAACAGTGAAGAGCTCAAACTGGGTTACATAGATGATGTAATGCACAATTCCAGTGTAATAGAGCATGAATTGTGTTCAGTAATGGGAATAAAGTTTTCTTTTTCTCTTGAGTTGCAATTAGACATTGGATATTATGCAATTTTCAAAAGCACTGGGGGAAGAAGCTTCAAGTTGATATTTGACATGCCTTTGAGAAAGGGTGTGTTGGCGTGTTGTCCTTTATAACGTTAAATGCACTTTCTAATTGATGAGAAACCCTAGCAGTTTGAACCAATGTGCCAGTTGTGTGGGAGCACTGATTAAGTCTAAGTCTACAGGTGCTTCCTACAAAGGAAGACCAATCACTTCTTGGTGACCAAGTTAAAGTTTTAAATAAGATGAAAATGGTTGTATATCACTGCCCAGTTTAATCCTTTAGTTTTAGCCATGTGGTTTGTTTAAAATACTGATATTTTGCCCCCTTACTAATGGTAAAATCAATTAACTCATTATTTTTGGTATATTCTCCCTTCCCTTGATGAGTCTCAGTATTCTGCTTGAAATTATATTTGCTGATTCACAAATGGGTTTGGGTTTTTATAATAAAAGTTGCCTTTTTCAGTACTTTGTTTATCAAGAATTAAACTGGTTTTATTGCACTACACTTGTCCAGATCTGCTGTTTTGCTAATTTTGTGAGCTATCTTAATTTTGAACAAATGATTTCTGAATTCCAGTTAAGTCCCAAAGACAGAAACTTCTTTGGGTTAGTTTGATTTAACTGATCCACTACGCTTATTGAACGCTCAAACAAATAAATTGTTGTCCAATAATTCAGGTTCCATGTATAACTGGGATGGTGTATGGTGCTGGAAAGAGGTAGTCTTTAGTGCTGATGCCAGAATGTGCTTGGCAGGCCAGGTATGACACCTTGGTTGTGAACAGTCTGGCCTTGGAAGTGACAAAAAGATAAATGGAGTTTTGGCAAGGACCACAGATCGTGGTATCAATCTTCATGATTAGTGGTGTCCCAAATTCAAGCTTAAGAAAAAACAAATGGTGCCCTTTGCACAGGGCTTTTGAGATGGAGAATGAACCGGGTTCAGCGAACAAAAATCTTAAAAGCATGTTGCAGGAAAATGTCTCTGTTACAAAATATTCTGTACTGATATTTGCTTATCATTATGAGAGATCATCAACTTGCTCCAAAACTAGTTACACAGCAGCTAGCACTCTGATTCTGGTACTGAGTGACATAATTGTGGCCAACATGGTGCTGCCAGCAAGGGCGTAACTGCATTAGAAATTTCCCAGTGTCCCTGGGAAGTTGACCAGTGATTGGATTGGAAAGAAAAATCAATGCTTACTCACTGATCCAAAATAGGAAATCCATTTCACGGAGGTCCTGTCCTCTGTTAGTGTTGGGAGATTTTTAAATTACCTGCGCTTACGTGGAAGAGGAAATACAAACAAATGGGGGTTGTGATTGACATATTCAATCACCAATATGGTCAATAGTTTAAAAACCAAAAGAACTGCAGATGCTGTAAATCAGGAACAAGACAAAGTTGCTGGAAAAGCTCAGCAGGTCTGGCAGCATCTGTGAAGGAGAAAACAGAGTTAACGTTTCGGGTCCGGTGACACTTCCTCAGAACTCAGTTCTGATGTTCAATAGTTTCCCTTTTGTCCCACTGCCCAGAATAAACACCATGCTCAGGTTTCTACAGTGAACTCAAAGTAGAGAAGTTATCAGAAAACAAAACTCAATCCTAACCAGTTTTGTTGCTTGCTTTTAATATTTACGAAATAATCCAAATTCAGAAATATATCCCTTTTTAATAATAGTTCCGATGGTCTCTTCCAAATCCAGGTTTTCAAGGAGTTAGGGGAAATGAACTGAATCTCTTACCTTCCTAAAAGCTTTGCATAGCTACTTTTTCCAAAGTGGCTCATGGCCCACTTCAAAAGTTGACTTCATTGTTCAGAAACTACGTTTATCTTCAAGTGCTCAGTAATGAAGTGTAGAGCTGGATGAACACAGCAGGCCAAGCAGCATCAGAGGAGCAGAAAGGCTGACGTTTTGGGCCTAAACCCCTCATCAGAAAATGGTGTTAAAATTGTATGAGATAGTAGGAACTGCAGATGCTGGAAGCTGGAGAATCTGAGATAACAAGGTGTAGAGCTGGATGAACACAGCAGGCCAAGCAGCATCAGAGGAGCAGGAAGGCAGACGTTTCGGACCTAAACCCTTCATCAGAAAATGATGTCTGTTCTCAGAAAATGAAGTATGATGTCTGTTCTCTTTTGTTCTCACGTTCTCACCCCCCACCCCTCCCCCCCATAGCCTTGTTTTGTTTCCTTTGCCTTTCATAGTGAGGACCCATTCTCTCCCTTTCATTTATTAACTTACACCCATTTTGCATCTATTTTTCTTTCATCATCATCTACGCCATCATCATCTATGCCATCTACCCTCTTTGCTCCTTCTCTACCTATTTTCCCTCGAGTGTTGGAGGTAGAGTGGGGGAACGTGACCATATAGAGGTTTATAAAATCATGAGGGACATGGATAGCGTGAATAGTCCAGGTCTTTTTGCCAGGGTAGGGGGGTCCAAAACTGGACAGCATAGTTTTAAGGTGAGGGGGGAAAGATTTAAAAGGGGCTTAAGGGCCAACTTTGTCACGCAGAGGGTGGTGTGTGTATAGAATGAGCTGCCAGAGGAAGTAGTGGAGGCTGGTACAATTAGAACATTTAAAAGGCACCTCGATGGATGTATGGATAGGAAGGATTTAGAGGGATAGGGACCAAATGCCTGCAAATAGGACTGGATTAATTTAGGATATCTGGTTGGCATGGACAGGTTAGACCGAAGGGTGTGTTTCCATGTTGTACATCTCTGTGACTGCTATCAAAAGTATAAAAAACCCATTTTCTGATATCTTTCAATTCTGAAGAGGAGGAATATTGGACTCCAGATGATGCCAGATCTGCTGAGTTTTTTCAGCATTCTCTCTGTGTTTGTAATAGAAGAACCAAACCTTTAACTCTCAGTGAGAATATTCAGGACAATGTGCTTTAAACATTGTCCTGAGATTGTGATGGTATCTTTCTAAAGGTCGCAGTATCTATGGATGATATGCTGCGGACTTTGATGGTGTTATTTCCAAGTTTCACATTGAAAGGTTTAGACATGAAATTGGAACCTTGGTCCAGCTATATTTCTATTGCTAGTCCTTAATGAGTGAAGATGGGGAGTTAATTTTTCCACCACAATTTTAGTTGAGATTTCTTCTGGAAGCGGAGTGTTAATCCATCACAGGGAGAATATGGTGATGGTCACAGTTTCAGTTTTGCTACTGGTCCTACACAGTCCACATCTGTCTGCAACGTTCCTCAAAACCTGGTACTGGTAATTCATGGTGTCAGTTTGATTGGATGGCGAGGTTTTCCCATCACATGCCACGTAAGGCAGGTTTTACAAAACTGTACCATGTCCCTGTGAAGACCTGATCAGTAAAAGTACCAGTTTACCAATGCTTCAGATTTTTGTATTCCAATACATCATCAGTATCTCTTTGGGGTCTGTGGATAGTGCCATTACCTGGTGAATAAGTGCCCACTGTTGTGGGTCTGTGAGGAGATCACCACTTCCTCAGCAGGATCCTATTTTTAAAATCATAACGCTCTGGAACTCTCTCAGCCTGTGGGGGTTGATTATATTGACTTGCTTACCTTCAGATTGGTTTCAACTGACGACGACTTATTAAACAGTTCTTTGGGCTTATCCACTTCCGTGAGGCAAGTGTCAGCTCCCCGAATATCCACTTGTGGTATCACTTTGGCTGTAACAACCTGTCACCAGGAGCCATCGCTCTGGTCACCGCACAAAAAGGAAAACTAGCCGGAACCTATTTCTGTAACAGTTCCATGACTCTAACCTCACACAAGACTCTCTGATTATAGGCGAAGCAATAACTTTGGCTTCTACCAAGTCATTAGCTCAGAGTGATATTAATGGCTTGGATGGTGAAAGTGAATATGCTATTGCCAGCTTTGTGGATGACACAACAGTAGGTGGGGGGATTTGGAGTGGGGACAGTAACAGAAGGACTTTGCAGAGGGATATAGACAGGTTAAACAAGTGGCAAAAACTTGGCAGTAGGAACATATTATGGGGGAATGTGGGATTATGCACTTTGGCAGGAAGGATGGAGGAGCTGAGTGTTATTTAAATTCACAATTACAGAAGGCTGCAGACCCTTTGGGGGTCCTCGTGCATAACCACAAAACGCTACCATTCAAGTTCAATGGCTAATAGGGGAGACAAGTATAATGTTGGCTTTTGTTTCAAATGGAATGGAATATAAAAGTGAGGAGGTTTTGCTAAAACTGTACAAAACATTAGTCAGTCCATACCTGGAATAGTGTAAACAGCTCTGGGCCCCTTATCTAAGGAGATATAAACTTGCACTGCAGGCAGTCCAGAGAAACTTCACTCAGCTGATCCTGGGTATGCAGGGACTGTTTTATGAGGAGAGGTTGAGGAAGTTTGGGCCTGTATTCTGGAATTTAGAAGAATGAGAGGCGGCCTTACTGAAACGTACAAGATTTTTAGGGGCTTCATAGGGGAGATGGGGAAATATTATTTCCTCTTGTAGGAGAGTCCAGGACCAAAGCGCATCATCTCAGAGTAAGGAGTCACCCATTTAAGACAGAGATGAGCAGGAATTTCTTCTCTCAGAGGGTAATGAATCAGTGGATTTCTTTACTGCAAAGGGCTGTTGAGGCTGGGTCATTAAGTATGTTCAAGGCTGAGAGAGACAGATTTATAAGGGAATCAAGGATTATGGGAGGAAAAGGCAGGAAAGCGGAATTGAGGATTATCAGGTCATCCATGTTCTCGTTGAATGGGGGAGCATTCTTGATGGGCTGAATGATCTGTATCTGCTTCTACAACTTACGGTCTTGTGAATCAATGCCATCTATAGGCAATTTCTGAACTGTGATTGTTTCCCAATATTGTCA